ATTTCTTATAGTGAAGCTATGTTGAGAATGAGTTCCTTCAGCTTTTTATATCTGAAAAAGTCTTTTCTGTATCTTAATTTTTGAAAGATATTTTCATTTGGCATTTAGAATTCTAAGCTGACAATTTTTTTTCTTTGAGTATTTTAAACTGTGCTCCAGTGTCTTCTCATTTACATGTTTCTGACTGTAATCTTCACTCTTGCTTATCTTTGTTCTTCTACATATAATGTTTTATTTTTTCTCTGCCTACCTTCAAGTTTCTTCTGTATTACTGATTTTGAACAATTTTATTATGATGTGCATTGGTGTAGTTTTCTTTATGTTTCTTATACCTTGTGTTCATTGAGCTACTTGGAACTGTGAATTGATAATTATCATCAAGTTTGGGAAAGTTTTGGCCATTATTTCCTTAAATATTTGTTCTGTCTCTTGCTCTATCCTCTTAAGGGACTCCAATTATATATCTATTAATTCACTTAGTGAGTCCTACAGCTCACTAAGGTTCTGTTCTCTTTTTTTTAATTCTCTCTTCTCTTTGGCTTTTATTCTGGATAGTTTATATTGCCATGTCTTCGAGTTTACTTATTTTCTTTTATAATGTCTAATCATGATCAATCCCATCCAATGTATTTTTTATTGAACACAGTGCAAGTTTCATCTCTAAAAGTTTGATTTAGGTCCTTTTTATGCCTCTAACTTTTTAACATATAGAATATAATTGTTGTAAAGGTCTTGCTTGCTAATTCTAACCAATTTGTCAGTTCTGGGTTGCTTTCCACTGATTGATTTATCTTCTTATCATGTGTAGAATTTTTCTGCCTCTTTACATGCTTGGCAAATTTTTTTGCATGGTAAATTTTTATTTGATTCAAGGCAGTTTTAAATTTTGCTTTATTGAATGCTGGGTATTTTGTATTCCTATAAATATTTTTTGATCTCTATTTGGGAAACAGGTTACTTGAAAAGTTTGATCATTTTGGACTCATTTTAAAGTTGTGTTGGGTAGAGCTGAAGCAGTGCTCAGTCTGGGGTTATTTATTCCACACTACTAAGGCAAGATTCTTCTCTATACTTTACCAAATGCCCTGTGAAACTTGAGATTTTCCAGTTCGTCTGGTGGGACAGACACTATTCTCATTCTATCGGCAACAGACACTATCATTTCTAATCCTTCTGGATGGTTTAATAGCTCCAACCTCCAGTAGCATGCACAGGCTAACAGGAACTCTGCTGAATTTTCAAGGGGAACCCACTGCAAATCTCCAGAGTTCCCCAGCCGTGCAGCTCTCTCCTTTCAGTAATCTGTCCTGCGTTGTCTACTTACCTTAGTCTGCCAGGACTATCAGTTCTATAGTCTCAACTCAGGGATACTACTGGGTTCTTTCTGAGTTCCCTCTTCCTGCACCAGGGCTTAGAAACTCTGTCAACACAGTAACTCAGGAAGTTATAGGACAAACCTTATTTATTTCTTATCCCGCAGCTATCACTTCCCCGTGTATCTAATATCTAGCATCTTAAAAACCATCGTTTCCAATATTTTGTTCATTTTTCAGTTGGTTCAGGTGAAAGGGTAAATATAGTCCCTGTTATTCCATTTTGGCTGAAAATGAAAGTCTAATATTCTCACTAGGTCTTTAATTTCAATTTTAACATTTTTTCTAGAATGTCTAGTGACTAATTTTTAAATATTTCTGGTTCTTTTTTCCATCATCTTTTCTTATTTCTTGATCAATTGAATATTTGCTCCTTAAACATTTTAAACACTCTAATTTTATATTCTACATCTAATAAATCAATTATATGATGTTACCAAAGTGCTAACTCCCTTTTAGCTGTTCTACTAGTCTCTGCTTTACAGTAGTTTCTTTCTTTATGTGTTTTGTAATTTTAAAATATTAATCGACTTAATTTTTTAGGGAACTTTTAGACTTACAGAAAAAAAATGATCAGTAAATGCACAGAATTCCCATATACTTCCCTCTTCCTACCCACCCCTGCACAGTTTCCTCTGTTATTAGGATGATACATTAGTGTGGAGCATCTATTATAATTGATAAAAACAGTTTGATACATTATTATTAACTAAAGTCCATAGTTTACATTAGTGTTCACTCTTTGTGTTATGCAGTTCTATGGGTTTTGATAAATGTACAATGCCGTGTATTCACCATTACAGTATTTTACAGAATAGTTTTACTACCCTAAAAATCCTCTGTGCACTACCTATTCATCTCTCTCTTCCTCTCTTCCGCTGAACCTCTGACAATCACAGATCCTTTTACTGTCTCTATACTTTTGTCTTTTCCAGAATGTCATATTGTTTGAATCATATAGTAAGTAGGCTTTTCATACTGGCTTCTTTCATGTACAGCATATTTTAAAGGTTTTTTAGTGTCTTTTCCTAGCTTGATAACTCATTTATTTTTGCTGCTGAATAATATCTCATTGTATGAATATATCACAGTTTGTTTATCCATACTTCCAAGTTTTGGCAATTATGAATAAAGTTGCTATAATCTTCTATGTGCACATTTTGTGTAAACATGTAAGTTTCTAATTCATTTAGTAAATACTTAGAAGTGCAATTGCTGGATAACATGGCAAGTCTATGTTAACTTTTGTAAGAAACTGCCCAACTGTCTTCCAAAGTGGCTATACCACTTTGTAGTCCCACTAATAATAAAAGAGAGTTCCTGATGCTCCACATTCTCAACAGCATTTGGTATTGTCAGTGTTTAGATTCTCTCCAATCTAACAGGTGTGTAATTTTATCTTGTTTTAATTTGCAATTCACTAATAACTATGATATCAAGCATTTCTTCATAGCTTATTAGCCATGTGTTCCCACCCCCACTTTGGTGAAGTGTCTGTTCAGGTATTTTCCCATTTTAAAAATGCATTGGTTGTTTTTCTTTTAAAAAAAAATATTTTATTAATTTCAAGTATACAGTATATTGGTTGGACATTTTTATATTGTTTATAAAATGACCCCCCTGATTGCTCTTTCTCTCCTCTGGCTCTCTACCTAGCCATTACATTAATGCTAACTGCATTACCTAAGCTGTGCTCCCCATCCCTGTGACCATCTATCAATTACTAATTTGTACTTCTTTAACCCTTCACCCCATTCTCCCAGTCCCCCAATCCTTCTCTTCTCTGGCTGTCACCAGATTGTCCTCTATATTTATGAGTCAGTTTTTTATTAGTTTGTTCTTTTTGTTCCTTAGATTTCATATATAAATGAAATTATAGGGTATTTGTCTTTCTCTGTCTGACTTATTTCACTCAGCATAATAACCTATAGGTCTATCCATGTCATTACAAATGGTAGGATTTCTTTTTTTTTTGGTGGCTGAGTAATATTCCATTGTGGTTGTTTTTCTTATTGTTGAGTTTTAACAGTTCTTTGTATATTTTGGATACAAGTACTATTTTTTTAATTAAAACTTGGTGATTTACCTGTGAGGATGCTGTGAGGTCTGAGCTGAACATGTATCATTATTGACTGGAATTGTATTTGCTTCTGTTATACTCTGTGGAACACTATTGATCCCTGATCACTTAATTTCTTAGCTTGAAGTTATCTAGACATCTTTGTTGTAGGAAATTCAAATTCTACATGCAAGTGAGGGTGACCTGTGATTGCAGTTTCTTGGGAAAAAATTTTTCCCCCCATCCTGAGCTGAGGTTGATCCAGATAAATATTCCCATCATTTCCCTGTCGTAGCAGAAGAGCTTTATGGTCTACCCTTTCAGGTAGGATGTGACTCTTCAAGACCATTGGCTTTATGCTGGGAACTCAGTTCCAATGTCTCATCTTGCTTGGGCTCAAGGCCTTATTTCCTTATATCCTGAGCCCACTAAGCTATTAATACCCAAACCCCTGAGTGACTGCAGCCTCATGTTCAATTAGAGTTACCACTTTTGTTTTCAAAGCCTTCTTAGTTTTTTTGCCTGTGAGGATTCCTCCCAAAGGAACTCAGCTATAAAATTCAAAATGTAGTTTTGTTATGTTTATCCTTCATTTCTAGATTTTTTTGTTGTTGAGTTTTTTTTTTTCTTTTTATCATGTCTAATCCATACATTACAAAAAACAGAAGGTCATATGGAGTTTTAACAGTATGATTTTGTGCTCGCTTTGGCAGAACACATACTAACAACATGCTTTCAACTTATTTTTCACAAAACAAACAGCCTACCCAAATAGCTGCTTGTTGTTTCTAAGTAAGAATTAATTAGATTCCATTAGAAACAATAATGTTTTCCTTGTTAATCTCCCTCGAGGGTAGGATCCACATCTGATTTCTCTTTGTGTAACTCCACGGTTCTTACACAGAGTAGATATTCAATAAAGGTTGGTTGAGTAAAAAAATTTTTAATTGAGTGACAAAATAAATGAATTGATGTGGCTGATTCTTGATATCACTAAGCCTAATGGCCCCTTATAACAAGTTTTACTTCCTAAGCCAAGAGGTTGGATTTTCGGTAATTAAAAATACAGCCTTCAAATGCAGCTGGGCATTTCTATTTGGGGAAGAACTTGTGAGGTGCTGGAACAATGTTATATATTAATTCTCTGGGAAGGCTTGGTATACAACTACCATACAGGTGTTTCCTGTTGAGACTACAAGTTCCCATATAAGAACTCAGAAGACGGCTGAAAACAAAACTTAGCCCACTTAATTACATTTGCCCAGTGTGCAGCATAAAAGTCATTGACCAAAAATAACATGTTTAAGTAATGTTCAAGTTGAGATACAAACCAGCACAGTCAGGAAACTCAAAATTAAATCTGATCTCCACCCTTCACTTGCCTCATTGTGCCCAAGAAGTACCAAGGTCAGAAATTAATTGGAGGCACTGCAAAACACAGCCTGCAATATTTCAGCTTAGTAAGGTCACAAGGAAAACTCAGTTAAAGCTTTATTAGAGCAGTTTACAGGAGCACATTACTGTGAATGTAAAATTAGAGTTTTGCTTTGATAGATGTGTCACCTACCCAAGGTAATTTGTTGGGAATAATTCGAAAGTGTAAGTGAACATAATTAAGCTTCTGTTTTATGGCAGTCTGGTCATTTGTCTCCAGATGCACTTGTCTCTGTAGATTTGACACTGCAAATGCCTAGAATATAATGAGACACATTTCAGCCACTCAGTTTTAAGTTAGTATTTGGGCATCTGTGAATTAAAAGACAGCCTTAGAATTGATAACAAAGTTGCAATTAATATTTTTATCTATCTACTTTCCTCTGTAGAACCATTAAGTATAAGAAAAATCTCAAGTATATCATCACGAAAATTCCTATATATTCCATATTCACAATATATTCCATACTACAGTGAAGCCCTTGAACAATCCTCCCCAGAATGAAAGATGCCACACTCAGCTGGGATTACAAATACCTATTTGATTACTAAAATATGTGGAGAAAAGTATTCCCTTCTTTCCTTATGTTTATACTTTCCTTTTAGAAGTTTCTCTAATTCCGGATTAACTCATTGATTTCTTTCAATTTTATTAGAAATTCAATTTTATTATACTTTCCTTTTAGAAGTTTCTCTAATTCCGGATTAAATCATTGATTTCTTTCAATTTTATTGATTTATTTCAATTTTATTGTTGTTTAGTGTTAATTAAGCTATTTTCTTTAAATAAAAAGCAATATATTTTTTCAAGAAAGACTAAAGAAAAAAGTAAAAAGAAAACAGCTATAGAAAATACCAGATAGTATAGGAATTTGATTTTTTATTCAATGCTTAATCCTCTGTGGTATACTAATTGAAGAACAGAATTTAATTTATACTAAAGAGTCCAATCATACTTACCAAGATTAAGATCAAAAGATAAATATTTCATTAACTCAGAGTAGCTACTATTTCTTGAGTTATAGTTTGTCATTTTTCATCTCATTATACAAGTTAAACTAGAATAAATTATTTTGAATTTAAATTATTTTTATTTATATTTGGTTATCATACTGCCACATTGTTCCCAAATGATGAAACTTAAAAAGATGTATTGATAGTCATACTTATAGTGTATCGTTCGAAATGCTGCTGAACATTTCTAACACATTTGCTCTAATTTGCAACTATTCATGGATGTTGCAACTGCCTATATTTCTTGGTATGGAAATTAACCAGTAAAACAGTACAATAATATTAAATATAAAGTTACAAGTCAGACTGATGCTAAATAAGTAAATATCTTTTATTACTCTACAAGAGATTTTTAAATATAAATATAAACTTCCGTTGGCATCAGATCTGTTTTTATATTACTTGTATGGTTTTGGCTTCCAGGGTCACTCTGTTTATTCTTTTCTCAAGAGATCTGGAAGAAGGGCTCATTATGAGGTTGTGCTAGGCACATGAGTTCAGTATGCAGACATTCTAGTTCTAGAGACTTGTCAATTGTCTTCTATGCGTCTAAAGAGCAGACAAGCACATAGTGAAACTCTATTGAAATGTCTAGTTTCCTCACTACCAGAGAATTACCTAAGAACAATTCTGTATTCACCATTTTCAGGCACAAAGGAAGAACAAAAGCCCACCCCAACATGAACTGCTGAACAAAATACCTTTTGTTATCAACTAAAGTACTCTTCTGAATCCTCAAAACAGCCATTGATAGATTTTTTCCCATATACATAATTTATGTCACCTATTTAATTTTTCATAAGTTAAACAACTGTTAATATTAGTTCTTGACTTTCATAAATGGCAAAAACAATTAATTTTTCCCCAAATCCAATTGAAATGCATCCTTTCCTTTCTCTAATACAATATAGAGCAGAGACTTGAATATTTGTAGCCTTAAGTTGAAGAGCAATCTTAAGAGTCCCTGACCAGACAAAAGCTTCCACATTATGAGCAAGTCTGAGCAGAAGATTGCTTAAGGGGAAATCCTATACCACATGATACATCACTGACCTTTCTCCTCTATTCTTGTTACACAGAGAACTGAACCCCTCCTCTGTCTCCATTTATAAAGTATTTGACAATGACTGATAGTTTTATTTTTTTCATAGCGGTCATTGCATTAAAATGGAGTTGTTGTTACATGGAGTATTGGAGAGCACTGTGAGTCTGAAAAAAAAAACAGGAAAAAATTTGCACAAAACCTTCATCTGTCAGGATGTATCAAGAGCCACCATTTCAAATTATAAGTAACTTTTAAACTCCCAGTATATAATAAGAATGAGGAACAATCATATACTATAACAAATATAATTATTTGCAATGCAAACTTGGGTCACTCTCCTGGCTCTTGGATTAGAGGAGGAGTTTAGATGTGAGACTGCATCAAGAGGCTTTGATAACTTTCCTCTTTAAATGTAGGTCAGAAATAGGACTAAAATTCTTTGCTTAGATCAGGTGAGGGGTTAGCATGAAAAAAAGGCCTGGTCTCAAGAATTAAGAAGAAACCGACTCACTCTTAAACTACGTAGTTATAAAGTATATGAGTACCTTGACTCCTCCGCCTTCTTCCTGAAGTCCCTAAATCTAGTCGACACCTTTTAAATGTCTCTTGCATCTTTCCACTTTTACATCCACAGACACTCCTCTGACTTGGCCTCTTTTATCTCTTCCTTGGATTCCTTCTACCACTGTTAACTGGACAACCCGTCTCCCAGCCTCCTAGGCAGAGGAAGGCTAGAATTGTTCCCATGTACATGCATTGCCAAGTTTGCTTGTTTTGATGCAATCTCTCAATAAAAATGTTCAATTATTATATGCAAATATTTCTTATCAAAAGCATGTCACAGATTAGAAATTCCATAGCTCTGCATTGGTTTTTTTAAAAATAATTTAAAACCACACAGATCCACTGACTTAAAATAGTGCCCGTGAGAACATTACCAGATCCCAGGTATGCCACCTAAATTAAATGCCAGATAAGACCCAGACAGTGTTATCTTCTCAGCCTGTTCACCAAAATTTCATATGTGGATGCTAGTGTAATTGTTTTGTGCTTATTGTGGATTTTGGATACTTTTTTTAAATAATGAGTTTGAGCAAATGTTAGGTATTTTTCTTCAGAAAACATTCCAGCTTAAGTCAATGATTCTACATGGATACAAACAACAAGTTTATAAGTGTTATATGTCAGATAATCTGTGGCTTCCAAGTGTGTGTTGTTTGAGTACAGGGGAAGAGAAAAAGAAACAAAGTGTGGCCACTTGTTTTCACACAAAACAGAAGACCTGGTTGAGCTCTAAAGAGGGATCTAGTTCCACCTTTCCTTTTCTGTCAGTAAATGACTAAACCATCCTAGGCCTGCATTCTGAAAGCAGGATTCATGCATAGTTATCATTGCATACCTTGTAACAGCCTGTCACAGTGCTGGTGTATTGTAGGCAAATTAGTTTTCTAATGCTGTAACAACTTAGCACAAATCTAGCAACTTACAGCACAACCCATTCTTTACTTCTCAGTCCCGTAGGTCAGAATGCTAGGCAGGCTCAATTGGATTCTCTGCTTAAAGAGTCACAACATCAAAATCAAGATATCAGCCAGGCTACTCTGTTATCTTAAGGCAGAATTAGCCCCTTGTGGTTACTGGACTGAGGTTCCCATTTCCTTGGTTGCTGATATGCCTTGTCATGTGGCTTCCTCCATCTTTAAGCAACTAACACCTTTTCAAATTCTTCTCACACTTAGAATCTCTGTGACTTCCTCTTCTGCCACCAGGAGAAAACTCTCTGCCTTTGAAAGGCTTGTGTGATTAATTTAGGCCCACTCAGAAATCTTCCTAGTGTAAGGCTCAGGGATTCATAATCTTAATTACCTCTGAAAATGCCTTTCTCCGTGTAATATAATCACAGGAGTAACAAGCACAAAGGTCATGGGGGCCATGTTAGAATTCGGCCTACCCCAGCAGGGGTGAAGTTTTTAACTCCTCTTGCTATTGTGCTTTCTAGTGCTATGGACAAACAAGAAATTCTTTCTGATGTCCAAGAATCAGGTGTATGCCACAAGGGCCTGTTCTGTCTTTTGTGGATTAGCATTAATTATCCCTAAACAAACATAAACTTGTGTTTCTCCTCTGTGGTGTATAGAAGACATACTTCTCTCTAATTTACATTATTGAACGTAACAAGGCCTATTGAAATAGGTTGGTCTTTCTCTTCAATTCTCAACATGGGATCAATTGCTCAGCATCCTTGAAGGTCTTCAAAACTTTTTTTCTTCTCCTACCTGTTTCTTCCTAGGCAGTCTCAATCAGACCCACAGCTCTAAATACCAGTACATTTGACCCTTGAACAACACAGGTTTGAACTGCACAGGTCTACTTATATTCATTTTTTAAAAATATATGCTTTTTTTTTTTCAGCCCTTCCTGTCCCTGGGTTTTCATCCATGGATTCAACCAATCAAATCAGAAACAGATCAGAAATAGAATTTTTGATCCATGGTTGGAAATCTGTGGGTGTGGAAGACTGACTTTACGTATTGTTCTAGGCCATTTTAGATAAGGGACTTGAGCATTTGCAAATTTTTGTATTCACAGAGGACCTAGAACAAATCTGCCACTGATACTGAAGGATAATTGAAGTCTTAGGGGAGTCAAAAGTTATATGTGAATTTTTAACTGTGCAGTGGATTGGCACCTGTATCCCTGCATTGTTCAAAGATCAACTGTATACACTGTGACTATAATACATAGCTCTGATTTTTTCTATGAATTCTAGACGGCCTTCATGAAACATATACTTGGATGTTTATAAAGTATATATTCCTCCATTCATCATTCTTCACACACCCCAAACCAGCTCTCTCGTTATTCCCCAAGTCAGTAATTGTCAATCTTACAACCTAATTTCTCAAGCCAAAGGTATCAGAATCATTCCCAATTTCTCCCTTTTTCCTCCTCTTATCTAAATTCTAGTCTACGACCATACCACCTTGAACAAGCCCGATCTTGTCTCATCTCGGAAGCTAAGCAGGGTTGGGCCTAGTTAGTACTTGGATGGGAGAACACCTAGGAAGACCAGGTGCTGTAGGCGTAAAAACTAAAAAATAAAACATAAGAGATTGTAGCAGTTAAAATAAAATAAAATAAAATAAAATAGTAAATAAATAAGTAAATAAATTCTATAGTAAGCCTTATTCATACTATCTCTAAAATATATTTGAAAACAATTTACTTCTGAATAGTGGAATTACGTCATCATTATTTCACACCACTGATTAATTAAGGCATCTGAGCAATGATTCTCAATGATCTGGAAAGACACTTGCCTAAAAAGAGAAAAAAAAAATCAAACTTGAATCCAATTAAACTTCTAGCTCTAAGTGCCAATTTACAGAAGATACAGGAAATAAAAGAACATATAAAATGATGCCATTAAGATGTAAGTAGGAAAATCCAAATTGATGAACACTCTTCAATAAATAAATTACGAGAAAAAGGAAACCATTTAAAACTGGAATCATATCCCATCTTTTTCACCTTGTCTCCCTAATATCCTTCCCTAATCTTCTTGTTCAGCTGGAATAAAATCTAAACTTCATACCTACGAGATCCTTTGTAACCTGAATTCTGATAATCTCTTCAAATGTGTCCTGTACCATTCTCTCTGATGCTCGTGGTCCACCCTGAGGTTCTTTTTGTCTTTCAAACATGCCATACTTGTTCCAGTTCAGGGTCTTTGTCTCAGAAATCCCCTCTGCTGACAGGCTCTTCCTTCCCTCTGGCTGGCTTCTTCTTGTTATTCTGGTTTTAGATGGCCTTTTTTGGTACCACCAAAAAAAAGAAGATACTCTGTCATTGCCTATCACAGGTAGTTAGGTAGCTAGTTTGTTCATTTATTACCATTTTATCCACTAAAATGTAAGCTTCATTGGAAGAGGAACTTTTTCTATCTTTTTCAGTATTATATTCCCTGTGCCCAGAACTGCCACTCAACAAATATAACTTGAATAAGTCAATGAATTAATTTACATAGAATCTGTTTCTCTTTCAGTTCTACAATTGTATAAATCTTTCTTCAACAAGTATGTGACTAAGAAGACTGAACACAAAAGAGTTAATCTCTCATGTTGTAGGCGCGTGACTTTTACAGTTAACCTCTCTAAGCCTCTGTCTACTCTGTAAAACAAGGATCCTGCTAGATTGTAAGCACTGAGTTATTATCCCCTATCTTTCTCATGATGGTCCAAGTAACTGGTTACTTAACTAGTTTGTACATTTGGTCTAACCCATTCTTTATACTGTAGCTTGAGTTATCTTTAAAAAATTAGATCATGTTATGTCAGTACTTAAAAACTTTCGACAGCTTCCTGTTACTCCTTAAGATACTCTGCTAGGCCCTGAATGATCTGGCCTCTTTGCCCATCCTCAGCCCTCTTTGTGAAACTCTTAAGTACACTATAACCTTCTTACAGGAATAATATAATGAAACAGAGTAATAGAAATCGAACACGATATTCTCCTTCTGTAAAACAGAGTAGTAGAAATGCCTCCTGATATCTAACGCATGTGGTAGATCACCATATCACCCGAGCGTACTTCATAAAAGCATTTTATCCATACGTCTTACTTAGTGTATTAACAACAAAATTTCCTTGGCTATTTTCCCCCTACTATATTAATGTTTAAACTTTCTTGTCCCCTATTCACCTTATATTGGCCTTTTCTAAATGTATTCTTTTTCAGAAAATTAATTTTCTCAAGATCATCTTGTAGTTTATTCCTGGTTTCTAGAATGTTAAAAATTGTCACCAAATTTAGTAATATCTGCAGATTTCATGAGCAAATTCTTAATTATATTGTCTTAGATTTATTCATTGCAATTACCATGAGTTAGAGCAATATGCCTTCCTAAAGTTTGGAGAAGATCAATTATGTTAAATATTTCAAATATCAGAATTTGTGTCAGATCAGAGACAAATCTAGATTAGACAAAACATAAGAAACATCATTTAAGGAACTTTTTTATCCCCAAAAGATTAGGTAAACTGACATATCATGTGCTTTTTTTTTCTCTTTGTGGTTTTATGATCTTTTATTTACAGGCTCTATAGGATTTTCAGTCTAAATGCAATTAATTAATTTGCATTCAAGTTGTTTTCCTTTTTAATACACAGCAGTTTCCATCCTAATGTAGCATATTGATTTAACATTCTTTTAAAATATCATTTTAAGATCTCAAGTATATAAAGGAAAATAGATGTAACATATTAATGCTGGCTTATATACATATTCTACTTGACATTTATATGGAACATACAAGAAAATAGCTCCTTTCATTTCAGAATGGTTGTCATGTCTTTGATTAGAAAGCAAGAAGCCGAACTGCATTCTGGGACGTTGTGTCTTGAAAACAGTCCATGTTTTTATCCAAAGAGACATCTGAAGAGATACAGACAGCTGCAGACCCATCCCACGGCTGAGAAGAGCCATCCAGAGAGTCCTGATGAGGCAGCTGCCTGCAGTCCATGGGGTAATGGCTGACCTCTGAACCCTCCTGACAGCTAGCCTTCTTGTCATCCTGCTGTGCAACAAGTCAAATTAGGCTATAATTGCTCTCCAGACAACAGGCTGCAATTATACATTCAAGTCTCAGAGTCTGGCAGGAGGGAGATGATTGTGGCTGGAAGGGGATGAGGAGAAGTCAAAAAGTCACAAGACAAACCGCTTTTTGATACTTTTCTCTAAAAAAAAAGTCTGACTGTAATATGTGCTCCCTGAAGAGGATCAAACCACACTGGAGAGCTACCATTCTCTTATTCAAACTACCACAAAGACATTGGTTTCATAGACTTCAGTAGATGGATACACCAACGGCTATGTGACTGTTTAATAAGGAAAAAGAAAGACAGCTGTGGTTCCCAGAAGTTCCTGTGCAGACGCTGTTTACTGTTACTGATTCATTTTAATTAAACAAAAAACAAATAAATAATAATAATAATAAGGGACCAGATCGGGACTGGGAGATATATGACACACAGTCATACATTTCAATATGTTCTAGCAGATCGACTACTTCGTTTTTGCTATTTAATTTATGTAAAGTCTAGGAACTATTCATTAGAGGAAGCCATAGTTATTCTGAGCAAATATTTCTAAAGCCCTATTTTAAAATATGCAAAATATTTTGCTCCAGCAAATTAAGTAGGCTGAACAGTATAGGAATATCAATAGAAGTAGGTCTGCCCTGGCTGCCTTTGAGACTGCAAAATTATCAGCATTTTCTACCCTCTCTGTCCAAAGTTATAGATTTATTACACAATTTAGAGTTTTTTTAGGAATGAGATAACTTGCATTGGTTTACCAAATTTCTGACATTTGCTTGTCCTGTGTCTGCTTGAATGCCTCTAGGATTAAACACTATCTCTTAATGAGGCAACCCAGGCCATCTAGAAATAGTGCTATTAAAAATATCTTCGTGTTAAAACAAAATTTTTTGCTTTAGTTACCTTTGTATACTAGTCTCTGGTCACATTTCACTTGGAAAATCTTGTAATATTTAAAGATAACAATAATGCTACTCCTCCCAGCCCAAACATTCTTTTTCTTTTTTTTTTCTATGACATGATTGGCAAACTCATATGAACACATATCCATATGCTTTATGGCACCTAGAACTTAAAACACAATTCCAGAGGTGTTCTGACAAATGCAGAACAGTCTGGTGCTGCTCTTTCGCAGTGCTATCATTTCTATCAATAAGCTTATGATCACAGATGTTCTCTGAGCACTCACATTAAAATGTTGCCTCTCTTGGAGCTTACTATAAATCAAATCCTCAGTCTTTTTTACATATGCTCCAGTGTTGTGTGTGTGTGTGTGCGTGTGTGTGTGTGTGTGTTTTCCCACACCACCAATTAATTCAGTTCTGACACTATTTATCTGAAGATAGCATCAGATCTCGGATTAAGGGCTCCGTTCCACAGTGCTGCCTCAACTTCAGACACCAACTGCGGTCAAGTTCTGTGCTTCTGACCCTCTGACTACAAACTAGAGATTCCTATGACTTCTTTCTTGAATTCAATTAATTTGCTAGAGCAGCTTACAGAATTCAGAGAAACATTTACTTAACATTTACCAGTTTATTATAAAGGGTATTATAAAGATTACAGATGGAGAGATATATAGGACAAGGTGCATGAGAAGGGACAAGGAGCTTCCGTGTTCTCTCTGGGTGCACCATTCTTCCTGCATCCCCACATGCTCACCAATATGAAAGCTCTCTGAGCCCCGTCCTTTTGGGGTTTTATGAAGGCTCCATTACATAGGCATTATTGAGTAGATCATTGGCCATTGGAGACTGATTCAACCTTCAGCCCCTCACCCTTCCCTGGAGGTCAGTTTCAACCCTCTAATAACAGGTTTGGTTCCCCCAGCAACCAAGACCCCATCGTAGGTTACTTAAGGGCTTGCTAAAAGTCACCTCATTAACATAACAAAAGGCAACTTTTGTACTCTCATCACTTAGAAACTCCCAAGAGTTTTAGAAACTGTAAACCCTACTAAGACCAAATATATATTTCTTATTGTAAATCATAAATCAAAATCACATGTGCTAAGCCACATACATTGCTATTTTCCTTGGGTGTTTTCACTTTGCTTTCTTAGACTCAAGGGCTAGTTCTTACATTTATCTTTGTTAAATTTCATCTTGTTGATTTCAACCAAAAACTTCCAATTTTTGATATCATTCTAGATCGCGATTCTGACATTCAAAGCATAAGTGGCCAATAAAATGTTATTTATGGAATAAATTAAGCAAAACTACCAGCAAAATACAAATAAATTTTATAAATTTTTATCAATAGGTTTAAAATTATATATCAATACAATTATATCATTAGAGCATGCCCTCCATATTTCACAAGTAATAATTCAACTAAACTAAATAGAGCCAGGCTGAACACTAGACTCTTGTATTAGGATTATATTAATCTAGTAGTAGGAAGAATCATCTTGAAATCAAAAATTTATATATTGGCACTTCCCTTTGCTTGTTGAGTGGCTTTGGAAAAGTTCACTTACTTTCTAACCTGTAGTTTTCTCATCTGTAAAATTGGAATATATCTCTCATAGTTATATCAAATATTACATTAAATCTTAAATAAGATAATGCATATGTTTGGTACAATGCCTGACACATAGTCAATGCTCAATAAATGATAGCTACTAGATTATTATTATAACATTTTTATATTTATTATATATTATATATTATATTATATATATTATTATATTTTGAATAAAATTCTTACTAATGCCTCTATACATTTGTCATACATCTGCTATATATTCCTGATCATTCAGTCAGATAAGCTCATGAAATATGGACATGAATTTAACCTGACGTGACTACTTCCAAATGTCTCAGAAGATCCATGTGATATCCTAGTAATTATTTCTTAAATAGTCATTGTCCTTTAAATATTCATTCCAGATCTTGCCTGGAATGAACGTCAAGTTCATAAGTTTGAAATAAATATCCTTACAAGAAGTTTAAGCTAGTTCAAACTTTTTTCCTAAATATTTATTCTCACTTAGAGTTCTTTAACCAAATACCTTGAAAGTTATTTTTAATGACAGGATGCAGTAAAAAAAAAAAAAAAAGAGTATATGTAGAATGTTCTAATTATCTGTTATTCAGCTTCCTCACATAACATTCTTTTTCAAATAGATTTCTTCTTCTAGAAACCAGAGTAAGTCTCCAACATGAACGAATACATCAACTAGCAGAATTAATTCATGGATTGATTTCAGGGCAATAAATTAATCCCTAATGGAGCAAATTCCAAGACTTAAAAATATTTAATGTCATACATTCAGATAAACATAGAAATACATGTTTTTCTATCACCATAAACCTCAAAAAATCTAAGGAAATATTGTCATGTACTGAGGGCATTAATTCAAAAGAACTAGTTTTAGTCATTAACTTTCACGTGACTTTAACATGACTTCATCTCGAAGCCTTGTAATTTTTTTCAATTATCTTCAATGTGATTTTATACTGAAGGCTCATATTTCTCATATACAAAATAAAATGAGATGTTTGGATAAGGTGGAATTAAAACAAATATTAATATCAATGACAAAATTATTATATAATTACTAAAGTCTCTTCCAGCTCCAAAATTTTGTCTTCGATTTTGTGACTTTCGTGGACAAAATGACTTGAAATTGATTAAACACAAGTAAACAGGCATTTTTCATCTTGTCTAACATTGATGTATCAATGTTAATGCATCCTTCCCAGACTATTTAGCAAAATATAGGAATGTGTAAAGATAGATGATCACAACTGTTTGAGAACCAAAAAGAGGGTGATAAAAAATTAATTTCTTAATTGCAAAGCATCCCTTTGTTAATCTTCACTACTCTGCTGTAGTGATTCTTTACATTTCAAGAAGTAAAGTTCAATAATATCCCCAACTCCTCTTACCTTTTCTACTTCCCTACATTTTTCTATGGCCACCGTTCTACCCTTAGCTGTTAAAAAAATCAGTGTTTGTGGAAAACAGTGCAGCATGATTTAATGAAGATCTGGATCAAAATAAAAATGGAAGAATTGTCATAACCATCCATAATTTATTCAATTAAAAAGGGATGGGGGTTAATGTTGTAGAACCTTTAATTCTGTTTGCTTCTGACTGAATTCTCTATAAAAAAATGACATCTCACTCTGGAAGAAAGGAAAGTTCATCCATTCAGTTAAGTTGACGGACAACAAACTTCAAATGAGGTATTTATGAAAACCTGCAGGATGGGAAAGGCCATGAACACTACATAGCTGGTAGAGTTCTTTGTTTTTCAGGAAACTTTATTAATGTCTGGGCTAGAAGTTAAATGAGAACACAAGCTCTCCATCATGCATGATTTAAAGATACCAACTTTTTAGAGTTAGGCTGGCATAAGTCCATTGTATGGTCCTTCTGGAAGCTGCTAGAATCCAATCACCTGAAAAAGTACAGAAATAAAAAGTAAAAATGAAACACAAAAAGAACAAGCGATAATCAGACTTTCAAGAAGCATTAAAGATTGTTCGGCTGCTATTTGGCTGATGCCCTAAACAAAGTTCAAGCCAGTACTTAATAATTGTCAGAGATGTAGCCTTTTCTACAGTTCAAGTGCCAACATGCTTGATGTTTCTTCTGGACACTGAGATTAAGTATTGTGCATCTAAAAATCTAAAGAAATAAGTAAAAGAAAGTGAAAGTAACACCAAGTGATACCAAGAATAATTTGGTAAATCATAAAATAGATGATACAGAAATATCTTATTTTCTTTTAATCTTCCAGGTTCATTTAATTAAGCACTTCTTTATGGAGTATTTACTCTATATTATGCACTGTGCTACAACTCTGAATAATTGATAAGGACCCTACTTTTTAAAGCTTACAATCTAACCGAAGAGCTTAATATCTTCTATAGAACATAACTGACGAAATTTTATTTATACTTTGCTATAAATTAGAAAAAAAACAACTATTGAGTTAGATGAGGCTTTTTTTGGTGGCAAGAAACAGATTCATGTAATAAGTTAATAAGAAGAATGGAAAGTATTAGAAAGATTCAGTAAAATCTCTGAGACCATAGCGTCAAGAACACAGCCAGGGCTGGTCAAGAGCTAGAGCTAGAACTGGGAAACTTTCAGGAACAAAGGCTATTTTCTAGAATTGAAAATCTAGATCTCTTTTTCCTGTTGTTCTTAGTTATCCTATGTCTTGCTGAACACCAGTTCTCTCTACTTGTTATCCTAAAGTGGGTACCCACGTGGCTGTCTCAGCTTCAGCTTCAGCCCCAGCCCTACATTGACTTCAATGTCTGGCACCCAAACTTGACAAGAATCCTGTGTTTCTATTTCAAAATCAGAGGAAAGAATGTAATTGGCCCAGCTGAGCATATGTCGCTATATTTCAGTCATCTGTAGTGAAAGATAGAGTCACATAGTACAAATTTGGCTATGGGAACTTACCCCTGTGTGGATGGCAGTTCTCCTGGAAAAAATGAGAACTGGACAGGCAACAGAAGTTGTTTGAGCATTGTGTCTAATTTCCACAACGTCAAACAAATATCTTCTTTGATAAATAACTCTTATTATATATGTAGTCATATGCAGACTCTATGTAGGCTATGAAGAAAAGAGATTAAGTTATTTAAAACAAAGTATTTTTAATTTCCTCATCATATAATTTTTCAGGCTACTATTCAAACTTGAAACTGTTCAAAGATGAAATCTTATACTTTTAAGTTATTAATAAAAACACTTTTAGTCTAAAATTAGATTATATTTAAAAATGAGATTAATGACTAATGAAGATGAATTTGCAATTATTTCAAACTCAGAATGTGTTTATACATTCTATAACACAGAGATTTTCTTGGATGCCTTGATGACATATGCTGACATATTTTGTATTCCTGTAACCACTACTTTAAATATATCTGAATAAAATATTTATCACAGCTTATCATAATGCCATAATGACTTATTTTCATGCAATGTATTTATATATCTTTCTCTCACTAGTGTGTAATCTTCTTGAGAATAGTGCCTGTAACCTTTAAAATAAGTTAACTATAGATAAATACTTATGTTGGCTTAAATATATTTATTTATTTTTTCAAATTACATGTTATTTCTTATTTATCTAGGGGAGAAAAATATCCAGCAACCTCAACCACCTATTTGAGGCACTCCTTCACTGTTTACTTATTACACCTTATTACATGTACTAAGTAGAAATTACCAACCTTTTCAGATATTTAAACTGTATTTGAACATATTCTGGGTTACAGCCAGACACCGGGGAAGTTGAAGGTGTGGGCAACAGCAATAAAGATGGGGAGTTGAGAGTACATTTTAAAAACTGATTTAGAACTTTAAAAATTGTAGTCTTAATCCTATTTCACATTTAAAAATAATACTAATAAATAAAAATCGCTTTAGTTTTAATATTTTATTCTCTCATATATCATACCAACTATAAAAATTGAATAGATAAAAATAAACCATTTGAGAAATAGGTTTGTTGTTTATGTATTTGAATGAAAGCCTTACCTATAAGTTAGCTGAATCAAATAAGAGGCTAGTACCAGCATTTAACAGCAGTAACTTTCTAAGGAGACAGGCAGTTTCCTTTTTTGAACTGATCCATTCTAAATTTAAAAACTGGAAATGGAAAATAGGAAGAGGAATGCCAAGTTAAAGTAATAATTTAATATTTTAATTTTCTCATATAGTGAATGACATTTATTTTGTATTTTAAATATTATTTATAATTCTGATTATGTAGAATTGAAAAAAATGAAGAGTATAAATAACTAGAATGGAATTTTATTTTGTTCCACTCTTTTATAAGAAAAACACAAATTAATTTAAACGCACATCAGGATCATATTAAGAAAAGAACCGATAGAAGAAGTAGTAAAGTTCATAGAAACTATTTCTTCTCTCCTTGGTCAGCGGAAGACTATACAATGACAAAAGGCATTGCTCAAAGGTCATAGAAAACCCAAAAGTGCTTTTAAATAATCAAAAGGCATGAAATTAAAGTCAGTACAGTATTACTCTTTGGTACACATTTACCGTTTTTAACATATGTTAACCCATTATGATAATATGGAAATAATACAGAAAAATGAGGGAAAAAAATGAATATCATTTAATCTTACTACTTCTTAATAATTAAGGTTAATTTTTTGATGATATCTTTTTAATCTGCTTTCTCTACCTTGTCTTTAGAAGAAAAAAACTGATTTTTAGGGACCTTATATAAAATTCTGTATCCTATCATTTAGCTCCAGTTTTTTCACTTAATGTTATATCATGCATTTTTCATGCCATTCAAAAGCATTATTTTTGATGGCTATGTTATTTTTTTTTTTCAGTTTAAAGACAACTTTCATAACCTTGCATCTATATTTTAACTTATAGCTTATTTCCAATTGTTTATTATAAATAAAACTGTGATGAACATTTTTAGACCCAATGTATTCTCTTTATTATTGCTTAATGACACATTCTCAAAAGTGGAATCTTGGTCACAGAGATGTTTTAAAGGTTTATGTATTTAAAGTAACTCAGCATAGTAAAGTGAACAGACATCTTAATTTCAATTTACATGTGAGTTCTAATCCCGGCATTTTTCTCAATTACTTTGTAACACTGGTCAAATGAGTTCACTGTGCTTGTCTTCAGTTTCCATACTTATAGTGTAAGATGGCCAACCTAAGTTATTTTAGGGTGTCAGTTTTGGTTATCTATGACTGAATAACAAATTACCTCAAAACCTAGTGGCCTAACAACAATCATTCTGTTATTTCTCATGATTCTGTGGGTTGACTGGGCTTAGCTCTATGGTTCTTCTGCTAGTCTTGCTTATAGCACCTTAAAAAGCTTCGGTTAGATGGTGGGTGCATATTCAGTGTCCAAGATGACTTTACTCATGTGCTTGGCACCTTGGCAAGGATAGCAGGATTTCTCTCTCTCTTTCTCTCACTTTATCTCTCCCTCTCTCTCTCAGTCTCTCTCTTCGTCTCTCTCTTTCTCTCTATATAGTCTTCATATATAGTTCTCTTCACATGAACACTCTCCATAGTATCTCCTTGTCTCTCCATGTGGCCTATCCTTCAGAACAATAGGATAGGCCACATAGGCTCTCAGAAATACAAGCACGTCATCACTTCTACCCCATCCCATTGAGAAAGCAAGTCACAGGATCAGCCCAGCTTTGATGTGAGGGGAACAGAACAACAGCACAGATATTGGGATGCACGTTTCATTAGGAGCCATCTTTGGTGAATAGCTACCACATAGTATCTGATTGGAGCAGTATCTTCAGAGCTCAAGGATTTTAATTATTTAAAATTTGCAATCTATGTATGACAAGTTCCATGATAGTCGATGTATCCCCATTGGAGACAGTCAAGGATGCTCATTTAACCAGAATACTCGATTCTCAACACTTCTAGGAAAAAGAGATGTGCACTCTGTAATTTTCACCAAATAATTATACCATCTTCTTTGTGTTAACAATCTCCACATTGACATGTCAATCATTAGCTGCACATAAGATACAAATAGACTGAACCTCCCATGTTCTATCCCACGGAGAGTACCTGATAGGAGATTCACCAGTGTCTGAGGGGAATTGAGTTTCCTTGCGTGGATTTTAGAGGAAAGTAAAACTGACTGGATTTTACTGATACTACTCATGATTAGGGAAATCAAAAAGAGATTAACCAAAAATGAGTCCCCAGAGCAATGGAAAATGAATCAGCTTTGCCTAGCCTCTCCTAGTAAAAATTTATACTCCTTTCAAAAGATTAATTTTATTACTTATAAATGAACATGTACACTAAGCCCAATAGAACTGAGACTGCCAGGCTGTGATAAAACCAAATAACAATTGTTACAAACAGATAGCAAAGCCAGACTCGATAACATTTTTTTAATCCTCAATGCCAAATTACATATGCTTAAGAAGAATATTTTTTTTCTCCCACACTACAGAAAATGGCAGCTTTTTATTAAGTCTATCTCTTAAAACTTAAACATTTGGTCTTTCTCCCCACTGCCTAACAGTGAGAGCTAAAGCTTCTGGAGGGTTTTATTTATTTATATGGCATTTGCCTTGACGTTTTCCAAGTAATAATACATAGTAACAGAGACAGATGAGAGTTCTGTGTCATCCTTTCCCTCAGGGCAAACTAGGCACAAATAGACCTCTAATGAAAGAATCCACAGAGCAGGACAATAAATAATGGGGCATAAAATGGGGAAAGCAGTTTTTGAGCACACTCTTTAAAAAAATACAGAACAGAACAGTGTTCTACTGAGTGAGGTAAAGCCTCTTCAACTTTCACTTCATACAGTGAGTTTTAGCTCCATTACTGGGTCCTTTCCCACTAACCAGGTTACTTCTAAATCTGACATCACTTGCTTTGGTTTCAATAAATAGCAATGATTTTAATGGTGTCTTATTAATAAAATGTCATTTATTCCTAAGTAGTAGCTGACATATAGGGAGATCTTTAAACAAAATATAAATATGATTATTCAAGCCATGCTTATTTCCTACCAAGCAATTATGCATTTATTCAACAAATATTTTGTGATTGCCAACTCTATGCTAGACACCATGCTAAGTCCTGGGAATACATAAGTGTATGAGATATGGTTTCTATTCTGAGGAAACTTTAGTATAGAAGAGGAAATAGACCACTAAGCAGTCTAGAGCCCAAAGAAGTGATATCCACTAATTCTAAAGGTTCAGGGAAGGATACTTGGAGATAATGTTCAGCCTGAGGTAGAAAAGATACAGAAGAGTTAATGAAGGAAAGAGAGGTGGTATTAGAATTCTACAGAGAAACAGAACCAAGAGTATACATGTACCTTCATGTATATATGAAGAGATTTATTACATGGAACTGATTTGTGTGATTATGGAGCCTGACAAGTCCTATCATCTGCAGTCAAACAGCTGGAGACCCAAAACAGCCAGTAGTGTAGTTCCAGCCCAAGTCTGAAGGCCTGAGAACCATAAGGCACAATGATGTAATTTCCTGTTAGAAAGCTAGCAGGCTCTAGACAACAAGATGTGATATTTCAGTTTAAAGCTGAAGGAAGGAAAAGACAGATGTCCCAGCTCAACCAATCAGGCAGGAAGAGTTCCCTCTCACTTGAAAGGGTCAGCATTTTTCTTTCATTCAGAGCTTCAATTGATTGGATGAGGCCCACCCAGATTAGAGAAGACAATTGGCTTTACTCGGTCTACAAACTCAAATCTTAATCTTACCCAAAACATCCTCTCAGGCGTATCCAGAATAATAATTGAGCAAATGTCTGGGCATCCCTTATCCCAGTCATGTTGACACATGAAATTAACTATCATAGGAGGTATGATAACAATGAAAGAGGGTAGTTGTGGGGGTACTGGTCAGGGAGAAAGTTTTCAAGAAAAGGAACAGAAAGTGTAAAGGTCCTAAGGACCAAACATGGCACTAGGAGGCCTACAGACTTTGGGGAGTCAGAAGATAACATCTACCAGTCTATACTTCAGAATATTCAAGATTAAGAGCAGGAGCCACACATCCCGAAAGAGCTCTAGACATACTACTTGTGTGTGCGTGGCCTTCAGCCTTTGTATTTAAATGTGTAATTTGTGTTTCACTAGCTCATTCCTCACCTGCTACTGAAGGGCCTCTAGTTTTCCATAAAGTCTATTCTGTGCAGTTATTTCCAGAGATTCTCAGAGGAAATTAAAACTGTCCTCTTAGATTGGTGTTTCTCAACCAGGGAGCATTTTTCTCCCCCAGGGCATTTGGCTAAGCAGATAATGATATTTTCAGTTTTCATATCTAGAGAGGGTGCTATTGGCATCTACTGTGTCTCATATACATTATGTCATTTATTCCTAGAACAAAATGAGTTTTACTTATTTTACAAATAAAGCTATTAACACTGATAGAAAAGTAGCTTGCTCAACATGTACCGCTAATAAAAACAAAAATTTGAAGTTTTAGGTTAGAACCAGTTGCAACTTTTAACTGCTCTCTCAATCAGTAAACTGAACTGCATGAAACTCAGACAGGTGACTACTCTCCATGGTTCACTGTGGTTTTGTCCTGTGTTCATAACGAGACCCTTCTCACATTCCCTATCCTGTCATCCTAAAAGAGATCCAGCTTAACAAAACATCAGCAGATAACATGGAAAAACAGAAAAAACATTTTACTATAACTATAAAAATTTTTATTTAAACCATATTTGTTCCTTCTTCAAGTCCCCTTTCCAATGCAAGTTACTGTCTCCTTGACTCTACATCTATCTGCCGAATGCATGCACAATCGCTAAGTTTTCTTCTGTCGTACAGAGCAATTCAGCTTTAAAACTCAGGTTGCAAACCTCAACCAAAAAAAGAAAGGAAAAGAAAAAGAAATCAGAGATTAGATATTCTTTCCCCCTAAAAGGGTGAGAGACGATCTTAAAAACAATAGATGATATGCCTCCCTCTTGGGAGTTTTTGTCTCAGAATTTTATTTTAGCAAAGTTCATTAAAAAAAAAAAATCCTTTCATAGTATTGAGGGAATAGGGGAATACATTTCTCAAAATTCCCCAAATTTACATTTAAAATAGGGATAATTTTTATTCTGTATAAATTATTCCCCAGTAAAACTAGTTTTTAAATGTCTACTTAGAAGGAAAGTCTCTGTAGCAATGAAAATATCCTATAAGCCAAATAGCTAAATAAATAAAGGTATATCTTTCAGTCACCAAAATTTTATCAGCCCAGACTAAGATTTTTTTAAAAGACTTTTAACTAGGAAAATGAAAAAAAAAAAAATGCATGATGAAAAAAAATCAAACATATTTAGAAAAATATCTGGAAGAAAGGAAAAAGCAACCTTCACAGTTATTGCTCAATGTCATAATATTAGCAGTAATTGTAATTTTTAAAATTTGCTTTCTTATGTCTTTCCAACTTTATATAATAAACTTGTATTACTACTTTAAGCAGAAAGAAATGAACAAAAATTTTAAAAGCTTTTCAAGAATCTCTAGCTTACACAATGGGAAAAAAAAAAAAAAAAGAGCCATAGAATGGCATACAAGGCCCTCCTTTATCTTTAGGCCCTGCTCTAGCCCTGGCCTTTAATTTTCCTCTTTCTTCCTCAGAAATTGTGTCTCTTCTCTGTCAAGTAGACTCTATCTTAGGCTTTCAAGCCTTTGCTTTGCACGTGTTATTCATTCTGTGGGGAAATACTTCTTCCCACACCTCATCTATCTCAGGCCTTCTAGTCCCCCTCTACTCAAATGTTCCCCTGTTCTTCTTCCAAAGAGTTTCCTACTTTCTACGATTAGCACATGTTATCACAATACACGCTAGAGAGTCCCATATTTCTTTTTCTATATTAGTTAGGAAGGATTAGGCTATATGTGGTAATAACAAATAACCCCGAAATCTCAGTGGCTTAATGCAACAAAATTTTGCTTCTCAGATGTGTTCTATGTCCCATATGAATTTGCAAGAGGGTCTACTGCTCATAGTTTCTCAGGAACTCAGCATCTCATAGCGGCACGCAATGGCAGATAGCGACACCAAAGAACCACAAATGGGTGTTTTATCACCTCAGCCCAGAAGAGACACGTATTACTAATGACCACATTTCATGACCAGACCTTGTCACTGAGCCTGCCTACCTGTAAGGAGCCTGGCAACTTTAGGGGGGAAAATGGTGGGTTTTATTTTCCCTAGCACACTCTAGAACTCGAGTTTTCAAAAGATAGGGGCTGTTCTATGTTTACCTTGCATCTCCAGCACAGAATGCAAGGCCTGGATTTTAAAAGATTACTAGATACTTGATAACCCACTGACAAATGAATGTATGCATAAAGAAGCATCATATGATTAAAAAGAAAAATCTATAGCCTAAATCCAGTAAGAAATAGTAAACATTAGGTGGACAGCACATAACTAAGCATTGATCTATATGATATAGAACCCAACTTTAATAAATGAAGAGCTATAGATCTAATTGTATGTTTCAGAGAAAATAGGTAGAATTTGTTTTGACAAAGGGGGAAAAAGAAAAATTTGAGGAAGAAGAAATTAAATAGGTAAAGGAAAAAAGGTAGCAATGATCATAGTAAACACATGGGGTTTCAGGAAACTGAAACTAATTGAAATGTCCATTAAGAAGCTGCATAACTAGAACATAGGAGAGAGAGGCAGCCTTGACCCATATTTTGAAGAATCATAAGGAAAGAAATAGAAGTTAATGTCATAAGAATAAATGACTGTTCTGAGGGAGAGTAGTTATAGAAAAGAGTCTACCTCATAAGATATTGTGATTCCCCTGCTTTTGAAAACTCCTGTGTGTTCTAGAGACTCATATGAAAATGCAGAGCAGCTGGTGAGCTAAGAAGTTTAACCAGCATCAGCAAACACCTGAGAGAGACTTTACTTTCCACTGAAATTAGCCATCTAATACTGTTAAGGCAGCTCTGGGAAGTCAGGGTGAGAACTGGGAAAGAAACCTGAACTGGAGATGGGAAGGTGACAAAAACAGATCAAAGTAATTTCTCAATTCCATCTAGGACAGGTCCTGCTCTTAAGAATAATGAATATTGCATAATCTTATCAGAATTTCTATGATAAGTACTAGTCCAGTTTATTTTAATTAACATTCAATTCTGTTCAGAGTGTCAGTTATATCTTTAAAAAGAAATGACTCTGTAGCTATTCGAGATGTATGGAAGATTTTAGTTCCTTCCATTTTGGGGTGTGGACACTGGTTTCAACCTCAAAAGAAATAAGAGGAGTTACCATTTGCTGCACGTTTACTATATGCCTCCTCATATTCATTGGATGAGTCACAAATCTCGTCATAACCTGCTGCATGTGGGTAGTAATCGCCCTCATTTACGGAAGCCGAGGCTCTGATTACATAACTGGTAGTGGTGGGGTTAGTATAAATCTGTCAGACTGCAAAGCCCCTAGAATATTTTCCTCAATGGTGTGGGCATTTTTATTTTCTAAATAAGTTGAGGTACAGTTATAGATAGAAAATGAGAGAAATAAGAAACTAGAATTATTTTCTAAACCTTCCAGCACTGCTATGCAGCCTAGCACATCATAGGTGCCTATTTATTTCTTAAATTCAATTGGCAAATTTTCTGGCTGACTTTAAGCCCTTCTTGACTCTGCTGTGGTAACAGATTGCCAAAAATGATTGGATCAATTAAATCTTTAGCACAACTTTTCATTCTGACAAAATACATAAATATATCACTCTGTAATCTCTTTTGAAGCAGTTTATAAAAAACCTCGTCCTATATATCTAGCAAGGGAGAGAAGCAATACATCCTCAGTGCGCTTTAAGGATATGCTTATTATTCTTATTTATTATCTGTTGAGTTTGGAAAATAAGAATGTATTTAGAAAGAATAAAGTAGTTGCTCTCTGTGCTAAACAGTTACAGCCTGAACTA